GAAACAATTACAGACTTTGTTCACCACTGAAAATCCTGACTCTGTAGTTGATTATATGTCAAACCAAGAACAGAATTAACTATATCATCACAGGCTTAACCACTGCTCTCATTATTTATCAGGAGTTTTGTTTGCTTTCAAGGTGCTTTCTATAATATGCCAGACACAGCTTATTTTTATTTGAAAAGATAACAGTTCTTGCCCTACCTGGTTTGGCTCAGTGTATAGAGTGACAGCCTGCAAACTGAAGGGCCCCAGGTTCGATTCCAGTCAAGGGCACATGCCTGGGTTGCAGGCTCCATCCCCAGTGGTGGGGGGAAGGGGTGCGGAGGCAGCTGCTCAGTGATTCTCATAATTGATGTTTCTCTCTTTCCCTCTCCCTTCCTCTCTGAAATCAATAAAAATATATTTTTTTTAAACAAGAAGATGATAATTCTAGGTAGTTCTTTCAACGCCAAAGAATCTGGATCGTCTCCCCCAGTGTGCAGGAGACATTGACGTAATAGTTATTTTCTGGGTGACACTATCAAACCCTCCTTGGCAGTAGCTAGCTGCTCAACAATTTCCATTAACAATTTCAAACACATTGTGTGTGGGCTCCCCTTGGCTTAGGGATAGGATAATATCTGTAACTAAGATGAATGAATGAGCTATTTGGAGGTGGATAGTTACCCATTAGAGAGGCCTGGAAATATTCCACTACTGTAAAGGAACTGTCCCTAAACGTAGTATTTTGTAGATCAGCCACCCTGATTTTTTTATTTCTGCCATTAAAATTGTATTTTAGATTTGAGAGAGAGAGAGAAATATCATTTGTTGTCCCACTTATTTATGCATTCACTGGTCGATTCTTATATGTGCCCTGACTGGGGATCAAACCTGAAACCTTGCCATATCAGGACAATGCTTTCACCAACTGAGCTACCGAGACAAGGCTCATGTGCCAACTTTGATCAGCCTGTATTGGCTGCCCACTTCACAAGAGCCCCCACCTTATGACCAATCATTTTTGATTGACAGTCAGAAGAGAGGCCATCATGAATCGAACCCTGATTTTGTATAAGCACAATGTTATTTTGAAAAGTCGGTATTACAGAAATTACAACATTGATCACAAAAAAAAGTTAGAACCGAAAAAATTCCAGATATATTTAAAAGCATTATGTATGTAAAATCACACAACCCTGAAAACAGTGTAGCAAATGCTCCTTTTGAGAGACTTTTCTGCCTGGCTTAGCCTTGTTGCAGATAATCAAAATATATGGCTGAGGAGGACACCGTTTCCTGATAAATCACCCTCTGGCTAACAAAGGGTTTCTTTACTCCTCCAAAGGCTAACGTACCACATTGAAAATGAGAGTCATCTGTCTCACACCCATTCACTGCCAATTCCATGTGCATGGACGCCTCTGAGAGTCTTCGAGGGGCACCTGCTACTCCTGTGACACCTTGCTTTTCTGTTTCAGAAAGGAATTCATTGCTGAGCTGGATAACTGAGATTCTAAAACTTCCATGCTGCCCACGTCAGGACCTTTAACCAGCAGCTTGGTCCATGTTGCCAGGCCAATGCCATGTCCTTGACCCTTGGTTCCATTTGGTCTCTATGGTGGAATTCTTATTTCCAGTAATACCACTCATTAAAGTGAGGGTCAAAGTATTTAAAGTTGTGGATAAGAAATATACATGAAAGTGCTTTGTCAAATATAAAAGAACTTTTTAAACTCTTAAGTAGCCAAGCAAATATTGGCTATCATGCATTGTCTGAAGTTATGCATGTATTCACAAGTGCAGAAGTTGTAGGGTGAAAGACAACGAACCAGAAGGGAAGTGGGGGGCAGAGAACCTAGAGGCGAAAAGTTGGAAGCGTCCTCATAAACGTGGCCGCTACAGAGAAGTGTTCTCTCCCGCGGCCGCTGGTCCCTGCATCAGGGCTGTGTGCTCAGGGCCGCAAAGCCGGAACCCTTCCCCACCCACAACCAAATGGCGTTTACCAACTCCACTGCCGACCGTCAAACTGTTTCTATTTCTTCATTTCCCTTCTTTTCACCTAGATCCTTTACCCCACATTAACTCCAGCTAGATCAGCTGCATTCATAGAAATGATGTCTTCAAAGAATCAAAGCATAAACACCTTTATTTAAGAAGCAGTTTGCAAGTGAAATGGGACTCTCCCAGGTTTGGGGCAGGGCCTTCAAGTTAATGACATCACTTAGCCGGCTTCAGACGGAGCTGTTTGAGCCCAAGTTCCCGGGGAGCCACTGCCCCCTTGTGTCTCAGAGCTGGCTATGAATTTAGTCAATGATCGGGAAGAACATTTGGCAACAGTCTGTACAAGATTATTTATTGGTGGGCTATTTCTGGCTCTTAGATTTATTAGTGCAAGTAAGATTTCCTTTCACCCCGTGGCTTTTTGAATGATAACTTTTCTTCCCACCAATTTCTAGAAAGACATAGTTGCATTATAATTGTCAAATAAATGTATAGCTCTTGAAAGAAAATTTGTGTACAATTATTCAATTTTGTCAGTGTCTTAATGTATTTCCTCCCTGTTTTTTCTCTCTCCATATAAGGAAACCTAATTTTACTGGGAGTCAGAAAAAAAAGAAAAAGAAAAAAAACAACAACCAAGAACTATGAAATCTAATTTTATCATAAATGTCATGTAAACATGATCTCTTCTCCCCAACAGGAAAATTAAGTTTGAATTTGCTAGAGAACTAAGAAACAAAATTGTCTTTTTCTCGGAAACAATATAAAACATAAAGGATAGTACTTTAGAGCACGGACTCTCATAAAATTTGGCTTTAATTTCAAATCTGTGGACTAGGAATACTGTAACGAATGCAACTATTCTACACATTAAATTGGACATCTCATTTTCAAGACAGAAAAATAAAGCTTCCCGCCCTAAAGATGTGGGAGTTAGGAAATTGGGTAGTTTGAGTATTGCAATTATTGGCAACTGCTTTCAAATGTGATTAGTCCTATCTCTAAGTGTTGTGTAAATATGCTGCCCCCCCCCCCACACACACACACACAAATATAGAAAATATAGAAACAAAGGCTTAGAACTGGATATTATAGGAGGAGCTGAGTGGATATTTAATTTAAAAAAAAACTAAACCCAGTATAAAGTATGCTCTTAGAATTGTTTAAGATCGCCTAGCCATTCAATCTTGTTCTCTTTTTCAGAGTAACAAAGGGGGGGAAATTCACTGTTGGGCAAGAGTCAAAACCTTATTTCCCTTGTGGTGAGTGGGTTGTGTCTTAGTTAGCTTTCCTGTTTTGGGGTAGGAAGGAAAGTCAGGGAAGTTAGTGGTTTTATTGTCGTTATCTTAGAGGCCTTCTGGGCATTCCTACGATCAACAAATATGCACTGGGCCACACACGGTCCCAGGCATGCCATGATGAGCAAGACTGGCAAGATCTCTATCCTCGGGAGCTTCTGTTCTAGAAATCTCCGTAGACCATTGGGATACTCTTTCCTCCGTTTACTTTGGGTGATTATAATTACTACATATCACTTTTATAATGAGAATATTTTGAAGAGAGGAGGAAAAATGGAATTCTTCGATAAAGGATGGATACAAATCTGGATTTGCCATACAACTCTGAGTGATTCAAAACCTTCCACCTGGAACACATTATTATTCTGAGTTAATCCCTGGTCACTTTTATTATTGTTTTGTTTATTCTTTATGTTGCATCAAACTCTAAAACAGCGTGTCTCAACTTCAACATTTTAGGAAAATTTGTTTGGAGCAGTTCTGTGCATTGTAGGATGTTTGGCAGCATCGGTGCCTCTACCTACTACCTGCCAGTAGCATCCACCCTCCAGATGTGACACCAAAAATGCCTCCAGACATACTGCCAAGTGTCCGCTGGGGGCAAAGCCACCCTGGGCTTAAGAAGCACTGCTCTAAAAGGAAGACAAGCCAAACAACTGCATTAACGAGGAAGGGAAACTGTTTTGAAAAGAGTTATTAAGCCTGGTTGACATGGCTCAGTGGTTGAGGATTGACCTATGAACCAGGAGGTCATGGTACAATTCCCATCAGAGCACATGCGGGTGGGGGAGGGGGGGAAGAGTGGCAGTTACAGGCTCGATCCCCAGTAGGGGGCCTGCAGAGGCAGCCAATCAATGATTCTCTCATCACTGATGTTTCTACCTCTCTTTCTCTCTCCTTCCCTCTGTAAGATTAATATATTTTTTAAGGAGTTATTGAATATAGTAAATAGTTTTAAATTTTATTTTTTATTCTCACCTATAGATATTTTCCCATTGATTTTTAGAGAGAGTGGGAGGGAGGAAGAGAGACAGAGAGAGAAACATTGATGTGAGAGAGATACATCAATTGGTTGCCTCCCACAAGCACCCCAACTGGGACCAGGGATTGAGCCTACAACGCAGGGACATGCCCTTGACTGGATTTGAACCCAGGACCCTTCAGTCCTTGGATCAGTGCTCTATCCACTGAGCCAAACCCACCAGGGCATAAATATTTTTTACTTGCATAATTCTTCGACTTTACCAGCTCAGGTTAAAGTCAGCTCCATGGATTTCATAGTTATTTGCCATGTGCAGAACACTGCTAGTTACATATACCTATCCAAGATTCAGGGAGATGGTGAATTAAGATAAATCTTGCCGAAACCGATTTGGCTCAATGGATAGAGCGTCGGCTTGAGGACTGAAGGGTCCCGGGTTTGATTCCAGTCAAGGGCATGTACCTTGGTTGTGTGCATATCCCCAGTAGGGGGTGTGCAAGAGGCAGCTGATCGATGACTCTCTCTCATCCATGTTTCTAACTTTCTATCTCTCTCCCTTCCTCTCTGAACAAAATCAATAAAATGTATTAAAAAAAAAAAAAAAGATAAATCTTGCCTCTCAGCAATGACTCCACTTCTTCCATTGTGACATTCACCTTTGCTTGAGAGGAAATGAGCCACCCGGAGGCTGCTGCTGGGTGAGAATGGATGTCAACAGAGAACAGCAATAATTGAACAATGCTGTTTTATTCCAGCTAAATAAGGCAATGCACAAGCCATCTGAGCAATAAGTTTGACTCAAGGGGCAAAAGCCAAGAGACAAGGATTTTGTTTTGTTTTTCTTGCTTTAATCATCAGTTACTGCACATGGTTTTCTCCCACATCTCCTCTCGAAAAACATGGGTTAACAAATCTCATGCAAAGAAACATAGAAAATGAGAAAATGAAATTCATCTATTGTGTAGCTGAAGGTAGTTTCTCCAATATTTCTTCTGTAAAATGCTCCATCAGCACGGTCCATTTCGGATTATTTTTATATCATGACCATCTTCCCTGCAAGTTGAACAACCATAAAAACACATTTATTACCTAGCATATTGACACTGTCCCAGTACTTATATTAAAAAAACAACAACATATCAGCCTGTTCAGTATGGCTCGGCAATTGACCAAAAGGTCACTGGTTTGATTCCTGGTCAGGATATTGAGTTGTAGGCTCGATTCCCAATAGCAGGTATGCAGGAGGCAGCTGATCGATGATGTTTCTCTCACATTGATGTTTCTATCTCTCTCTCTTTCTCCCTTACTCTCTCTCTAAAAATCAATCCTATATAATAAAAAGCTAATATGCAAATTGACCGAATGGCAGAATGACCAGTTGCTATGATGCGCACTGACCATTGAGGGCAGATGCTCAACACAGGAGCTACCCCCTGGTGGTCAGTGAGCTCCCACAGGGGGAATGTTGCTCAGCCAGAAGCCCTGAGCCAGGCTCATGGCTGGCAAGCACAGCGGTGGTGGCAGGAGCCTCTCCCACCTCCACAGCAGCACTAAGGATGTTTGACTGTCGGCTTACGCAGGGAGGAGGCCTAAGCCAGACATCCTTTGAGGGCTCCTGGACTGCAAGATGACACAGGCCAGGCTGAGGGGACCCCCACCCCCTGCTGCAGTGCATGATTTTCATGCACCAGGCCTCTAGTAAAAACATATCTTTAAAAAAATATATCTATGTCATTGTACATTACAGTCCTTCTTGGGCAATGTTTATGTAATCATTTTTAAAGCTAAATGAAGAAAACAATGAGGATGAAACCCCCAACTCTGTCATTTCTCTACCCATAGGGTACGAGGCACTAATACCAAAGGATCACTCTGAGAAGACCTAGGAAGCTCACTGAAGACTGAGGTCAGAGAATGGACCCCTGAAATGCAAAGCAGCATACCTGAGAAGAGTCACGGTTCCTCAGCCAGACATAACACATTTATGATTTATCATTCTCTAGGTAAAGTTATTAACATCTACTGCCCAACTAAAGCTGCAGGTTACGCAGATCACCAGCACATGCCCTCTGAATTCAAAAGAACATTTAATATTCCACAGAGTTTAACTATTAAATATACTCTTAATCTTGGAAAATCGCCTATCCATGGATAGTAACATAACTCGATTATCCAGTCTACAGTTGCACATGTCATTCTCCAACTTCAGTCTAAACAATGCACTGAAGGATTCTGGTATATTTTTAAATGTCAGTGTGAAACTAGAACTACTTACGTTGCAGGTGATTCTTATATCCAAGAAAGGAGCCACTACTTCATAAGTAATGAAAATTCAAGGACAAAAGAAAATGTGGCTATTCTACACTGTAAAAGTATGTCACCTGATTTTCATGCACAGAGTACACTCGTTGGGATAAGTGGACATGTCGCTTCCACATACAGGGTTAAAGTCTCTGGGACATCCTGGCAATGTATATTCATCACAGTTTGCCTAGAAAAGAGAAAGGAGGACAGAAATTAGAGAGCCACTGAAACACCTAGATTTCCTAGAAACACCCTAGAAAAATCTATTTTACACACACACACAAATGATTTTTCTAATGCAAAAATCAGATGCAATGTTAAAGCATTGGTTCAATACCAATGTAAGTAAGAAAAGGTTAGGTCTGCTGGTTTTTATTTTTCTAAATATTTTATTGATTTTTACAGAGAGGGAGGGAGAGGGATAGAGAGCTAGAAACATCGATCAGCTGCCTCCTGCACACCTCCTCCTGGGGATGTACCCGCAACCAAGGTACATGCCCTTGACCGGAATCGAACCTAGGACCCTTGAGTCTGTAGGCCGATGCTCTATCCACTGAGCCAAACTGGCCAGGGCGGTCTGCTGGTTTTGTAATGGAAGTCCAGGGCATGCCACCATGCCTACTTTATTATCCTCTGGCTTCATAATTAGTGCTTCACTACTATTTCCACGGGAATGTTCTATTACAGCCATCTTAATCCCCGGGAATAATGTTGTTTTGTATTGGCATTGTTGTTATTATTTAATAGCCAGAGTTTTGCTCTTGACATTCAAGTTTTGAAAATAACAGGTATGTGGTTTAGTTTTTGCATTGGCATTGTTTGAAATTGTTTTTAATTTTAGAGCCCTATTATTGATGTTTAAATTTTATTTTAACTAGTAAAAAAGAGTGAGATGTAGAGAGCTGCCTGAGAAGGCACATGGACATTCTTTTAATTCTTATCAGCTGAGCCCGAGGGCACTGGCAGAATCCTCTTATCAGTACTGATTTCTTAATCCAGTGCTTGGAATGAGGAACAAATAGGACCTGGACTCACCCAGGTCTCGATATGCTAAATCTTGTACCAAAAAATAAGGAGCTACTCAGATTTTGATGAATAGGATCTGGGCACACCTGAAACTCCTTTTGACCTTAAACTCCCCTTTGGAAGTCAATAAAAAAATTAAAAAATAAAAACAAGGGAATTAAAAAATCTGATGAACAATATTAACTGTTAAATATAATAGAATCAGAGATATGGAAGGGGGGTGGACTGATGATTCTCAGGGAAAAGAGGAGTGGGGGGTGCGGGAAGAGACTGAACATAAACTGTGCACCTATGGATGAGGACAAGGGGGGTGGGGAAAGGGCAGAAGGTGGGGTAGGAACCTGGTGGAGGGGGAAAAAATGAGGAACTTTTGTAATAATATGAACAATAAAGGTTTATAAAATAAATAAATAAATAAAATAAAACATCGACTGCAAGGCGTAGCTATTGAGTCAAAGACTTTTTGAGTCAATAAAGGAAACAGTGAAGGAAACACAGGCCTGAAGGCCTTCAAGACCTGAGCTATTTTCAACCAAAATTTACATTTTTTAAAATCTGTATTAAAAAGCCACTGATTTCTAAAGCAGTCAATAGTTTCAAAAGGATTAGGTCAGAACTGAAAGCTAGGCTCCAACCCAATTCGCTGTGGACTTCAGGGGTCCTAGAAACGGTACAAGTGGCTTCCTACTTACTTTTCTATATCTTGAAGATAGACCAAATTGATTGTTCAGAGTGGCTGAAAGAAAACAGATATTTATAAGTATGTGGTTAAGGTCAATTCTTATTTGAAAGGGGCTTTTTAAATATATATTTTATTGATTTTACAGAGAGAGGAATTGAGAGGGATAGAGAGTTAGAAATGTCGATGAGAGAGAAACATCAACCAACTGCCTCCTGCACACCCCCTACTGGGGATGTGCCCGCAACCAAGGTACATGCCCTTGCCCAGAATCGAACCCGGGACCTTTCAGTCCACAGGCCGACGCTCTATCCACTGAGCCAAACCGGTCTCGGCTGTAAGGGGCTTTTTAAATCCAGCTTGTGATTTACCCAGAACACCCCTTCCTTTCCCTTTAATACTTACCCTTCTTTGAAGCACCCCTCTGACCCCCACACCCACCTCCAAAGGATATTCTGCCATGTTCCCGCACCTCTCTTAGCAGGCACACAAAGAACTTTTGGTGTGGGTTCCATAACTGACTGTCCTAATAGATTTGCTTGAGAAAGGCCTATGGTGCTATGGAATAAAAGTCAGAGAAGCTGAAACCGGAACCGGTTTAGCTCAGTGGATAGAGCGTTGGCCTTCGGACTGAAAGGTCCTAGGTTTAATTTCGGTCAAGGGTATGTACCTTGGTTGGGGACACATCCCAAAGAGTTGGGGGGTGGGGGGGAGGTTGTGCAGGGGCAGCTGATCAATGTTTCTGACTCTCTATCCCTCTCCCTTCTTCTCTGTAAAAAAATCAATAATTTTTATTTTTTTTTTAAGTCAGAGAAGTGGTTCCTCATAATTCACACTCTTCTTTCCTTCTGCAGCTCAGGGTAATGAACACAAAACTTAGCATTTAGGTGTACCTTTTTTTTTAATATATTTTATTGATTTTGTACAGAGAGGAAGAGAGAGGGGTAGAGAGCTAGAAACATCGATGAGAGAGAGTCATCGATCAGCTGCCTCTTGCGCACCCCCTACTGGGGATATGCCCACAACCAAGGTACATGCCCTTGACCGGAATCGAACCCGGGTCCCTTCATTTTCCAAGCCGACACTCTATCCATTGAGCCAAATCGGTCTCCGCTAGATATACCATTTTAACTCCATTGTAAACAGGGCTGGACTGAAGCCCCTTTCTCATAAGCCACGCACGAACTTGCACTTGGCAATCACCATCCCTAACTCCCCGTACATCTGCCGAGGCTCAGCAGGGCCACTGTGAACACCCAGCTCCTTATCTTGGGCTCCAGAAATCTGCTTTAAGGGAGAAAAGGCAGACAGCGTCACCAGAAGCAGCTGGGAATGAAGCCGGACTGAGCAAGGCGGTCCCTGGTCCTCAGCCACCCCCACGCCCGACATTCCTCAAGGACCGCGGCCGGCCAGGAACCGCCAGTAACGGTGCCAGGGACGCCGGGATCCAGGCCGTCGCCAGGGGCCTCCCTCTCAGGACGCCCCCACGGCCCGGTCCGACCACGCCGGCCGGGGAGCGGTACCTGCCAGGTCCCGGGCCAGCAGCGCCAGCACCAAGCTCATCGCCAGCAGCGCCATCCTCCTCCTCCTTCCCCCTCCGCCCGGGGCGGGTGCTGCGCGAGGCGAAGGACTCACCGGCGGGACCTGCGAGGATGTGGGGTGAGGGCGGGGCGGGGCCGGAGGACCAGAAGGGAGGGAAGAACGTGGAGGGGAGGAGGGGAGGGAGGGTCAGGAAAGGAGGGAGTGGGGGGAAGCCTGGGAAGAATGGGGGAGGAGTAAAGGATGTTGCTAGGCTAGCCCCCTATGGCCCCACCCCCCCACCCCGCGGAGGATGGGAGTAAGTGATTCAGGGGAAGGTCTCTCCCTGCAACAAAACAAGACCTCGTTCGGAGCGCTGGGACACAACCTTGAGGGCTGTCAGTCAACCACTGTTTCTTCGGCCTCTCCCCGGTCCCAGGGGCTGCACTCGGTGAAGAAATCCCTGCTCTCAAGAAGCTTTCTCTGCAGGTGTTGGGGATGGGATGGCACAGGGAACACTGAAACAACAGAATCAATCCAGTAGTTTCTAAAGTGTTCGAAAATGGTGGGGAAAGGGGGAGACTTTCCATTGGGAAGTCAGGAAAGGCCTTTCAGAGACGACATTTTAAAATATTTTTATTGCCTTAACTTGTTTGGCTCAGTGGACAGAACGTCAGCCTACACACTGAAAGGTCCCAGGTTCAATTCCGCTCAAGGGCGTGTACCTTGGTTGTGGGCACATCCCCAGTAGGAGGTGTGCAGGAAGCAACTGATCGGTGTTTTTCTCTCCTTGATGTTTCTAACTCTCTATCCCTCTCCCTTTCTCTCTATAAAAAGTCAATAAAATATATATTTTAAAAAATCTTTATTGTTGAAAGTATTACATATGTCTGCCCCCGCCCCATGACCCCCTTCTAGGCGGTCCCAGGCCTTCACCACACTACTGTCTGTGTCCATGCATTATGCATATAGGCATACAAGTTCTTTAGCTGATCTCTTCTCTCTCACCATCCTGCCCTTCCACTCCTCTCCCCACCCCCACCCCTGCACCCCTCCCAACCCAGCCATTCCCCGCCTTCCCTCTGAGATTCCATGGTCTGTTCCATGCTTCTATGTCTCTGGATTTATTTTGCACAATAGTTTATTTTGTTCATTAGATTCCACGTATAAGTGAGATCATGTGATGCTTGTCTTTCTCTGGCTGGCTTATTCCACTTAGCATAATACTCTCGAGGTCCCTGCATGCTGTCTCAAAGGGTAAGAGCTCCTTCTTTTTTACAGCTGCATAGAGGTTATTGTTTAGTTTCCTGGACGGTCACATCTGAGCTGAAAGCTGATGCATGAGAAGAAGGAAGCTTGGTGAAGACCTGGGGACGAGAACTGCAGGCCCAAAGAAAAGCTCGTGCGGAGATCGGAGGCAGGAGCCAGCTCAGTGTTTCAGCTGGCGCCCTGCATGGAGGGGGAATGGGAGCAGGAGACGAGACTGCAAAGCCAAGGTCATGAGTGGCTGGGTAGGCCATGATAAGAGCTCTGGGTTTTTTCTGGTTGCAGTGATAAATCAGTGGAGGACTTTAATCTAGGGTACATGTGTCAAACACAAGGCCCGCGGGCCAAATCCGTCCCGCCAGGCCTTGCAATGTGGCCCGCACCGCACTGTCATCACTGCACTCCACTGCGTTTCCATCACAATGACAGTTTATGACTGTTCAGTAAACCATTCGGCCCGCGATTTAGGCTGGATTTTAGATTTTGGCCCCTTCTCTGATTGAGTTCGACACCCCTAATCTAGGGAATGCCCTGACCTGACTTCTTTTTTAATACATTGGGTGAAGAAAGGACAGGAGATAGAAGATTTGTTAGGGAGATAAATTAGGTGGCTTGTGCAGTGATCCAGGCAAGAGGTGAGGCCATACGTAAGGAAGGCACTTATTCTGTTCCTAAGCAACTTAGGCACTTGCTCCTAACTCAGTTTTCACCTTAGCTATTGTGTTGTCACAGTGCAGAAGGTCTCTGGCCTGTTCTAGCAAGTGACATGGACTATTTCTCTGACTTCTGTGTCCCTAGTGCCTAGCACTGTGCCTGACACAGGCTCAGAAAATGCTGGCTGAATAAGTGAACCTTTAGAATGTTAAACTGACATCACAATAAGAAAGTAGACCAAAAAGAGGAAGACATGGGATCCAGGAAGTAGGAATTTCAACCCAAGGGAGGAGCAAAATGAATTAATAGGTGGCAGTAAGAGAGTCCTAGAGTTCAGCTGGTCCATAGACCCCAAGAGACAGTTTCTAGAGGACAACATAGCTGGACTATGAAATGTGTCTTGCAGTAACCGAGGTGAGAAATTGATTAGTAACAAATTCAAAGAAAAAGAAGTAGGCTAGGGTTTCTGCACTGACAAATGGAGGTGGTCTGAGACCTCCCTGCCAAGCTGGAAACCAGGGAAATGGCAGAGATCGACCAAAAGACCAGGCAGGGTCTCACCTTGGTGATGCAGACACTCCTGCAACGGATGCAAGATAAATTTCAGACCATGTCTCACCAGATCATTGGAAGAATTGATGATGCGACCACTCACATTGATGATCTAGAGAAAAACATTGCAGATCTCATGACCCAGGTTCAAGTGGAACAACGAGAAAGTGAAAACAAGACACCGGCTCCACAGAAGAGTTGAAGGTTGTTAATTTACACTGAAATCTGGAACATTGTTTTTACAAGCCAAGAGGAGACCAACTACTATGTACAGACCTATTTTTAATAGAGTGTGCATTATTCTTATCACTTACTGTGTAGTTAGTTTATAGAGTGGTTCCCCCCCTACCTCTCCCCAGTTTTTTTAGCATAACTTCACATCCTGGATGTTGGGCAGTTGTGCTATTAAGTACTAAAATTTTGGTGGTTCCTATGTAAAATTGTTGAATTTTTTTAATGTTTTTGTATGAAGCCATTTTTAATCATTCCTATTATTTATTGATTTAAACAAGAGAGAAACGCGTCAATTTGTTGTTCCACTCATTTATGCATTTACTGGCTGATTTTTGAATATGCCCTAACTGAGGTACTGAACACCCAACCTTGGCGAAATGGGACGCTGCTCTAACCAACAGCTACCTGGCCAAGGCTCTGGCATTCCTTTTGTGTGTAGTAGTTGCTGTTTAATAAAAGTTGCTGTGTAATTTTTTCTATTAGGCATATAATAGATCCTTCATTAAATTAGACTGTGGGGTAACACATTTATAGAGTTTAGGGTCCTTTAATTCTCAACACAGAGTGACTACTGAGCTAACACCAAATAGTGTGTTGGTGATACATTTCAAATTGCTAAAAACATTTTAAAATTGTTTATTCAGAAATATATATATATATATATATATCACTACTATGTTGCAAAAACTCAGACTTGAATGGAGATTTTTTTTTAATATATTGATTTTTTACAGAGAGGAAGAGAGAGGGATAGAGAGTTAGAAACATCAATGAGAGAGAATCATCGATCAGCTGCCTCTTGCACACCCCCTACTGGGAATGTGCCCACAACCAAGGTACATGACCTTGCCCGGAATCGAAACCGGGACCTTTCAGTTCGCAGTCCGACGCTGTATCCACTGAGCCAAAACGGTCCCGGCTTGAATGGAGATTTTATGTATAAGTCCCTGAGGTCAGATGCTAAAGTAATGAAGAGTAGCCACTGCCACTTTAATGTGAAAAAAATCCTTAAGTACAGAAAATGACAGAATTGCCTAATGTAATGAGGCATTCATTAGAGTTTTGCATGAGATTTAAATACTTCTGAAGGACCCTACATTGTTCATCTAAAATAGTTACCATAGAAAATCTGGCAGGATTTTAAAACACAATTACTCCATCTTTTCTTTGAGCTACTAATTGGGGAAGGAAAAAAAAAACACAGAAAAGAAAAAGAGACCATATTAAGTTTGTGCTTGTTGCTTCACTCAAAAATAATAACTTGTAGTAGGCTCAAGATTTTAAGTTCTTTTTCTTTAAACTATTCTATTTCTTTAAACTATTTCTTAAATCTAAATTCTTACAGATTAACTTTTTTACTGATTATAGAAGACAAGGATAATAACTCTTGCCACTCAAAAATGTAGTGTTGGAGTGCTGAGTATTGACTGTGAAGGAGATCCATGTAATTATCCCAGCAATTCTGTATGGGGGGGAGGAGGATTGAAAAGTTAAAGAATGGTATTGTGCTTCATAGAGGAAAACCCTTCACAAATACAGTATTTGTGTTGTTGTTTTCTTAAAAGTTTCCATATCACCAGTCTTTAATGTATTGCAAAAGTTGAATAATATTAAGGAGGAAAAGAAAACTAAGAAAAATTAAAAAGATAGTAGTTATTGGCTTCCAGAAAAACAAAGTTGTTCAATAATATAAATATCAATAACTGATTTAATCAAAATTATGATTAACTGCCCTGACAGGTTTGGCTCAATGGATAGAGTATCGACCTGCAGATTGAAAGGTCCCCGGTTCCATTCCAGTCAAGGGCATATACTTTGGTTGCAGGCACATCCCCTGTGGGGGGTGTGCGAGAGGCAGCTGATCGATGTTTCTAGCTCTCTATCCCTCTCCTTTGATCCCCAGTAGGGGGCATGAAGGAGGCAGCCCATCAATGATTCTCTCTCGTCACTGATGTTTCTATTTCTCTCTCTTTCCTCTCTAAAATCAATTTTTAAAAAAATTTTTTTAAAAAGAGAAATTTAACAAAAGTTATTCTGAGACATACATCAGTGCCCTCCAACACCTCATATAGTGTTTGAGAATATTTATTTACTGATTGTTTTTTTTTCCTTAAGAAGTTCCCTTTGACTTAGTTATTAACTTTGAATGCAAGTTTTGGTAGCTATTCAGCAAACCTTAATGAGAGTTTAGAGAAGAGAAATAATGTTGCCACCGAGGCACAACAAGTTAGTGCACTGGCAGTTGCACTTTCTACCCGCCTCTTATGCCGAAGTGTCAAATGTTGATTCTGTGACACACTCCCTGTATCAGTCAGGGTCTAGTCTGGGAAACACAAGACTCACCAGGCATTGCACCAAAGAAATTTTACTATAAGAAATTGACCAAACCAGTATTTGGGAACTGAAAACAAGCAGAAAGGGAACAAGGAGGTAACACACA